GTCGAGTGTGTTGTCACATGGCTACGCGTACACAGTCACTGTCAGGGAATTCCTACCCATTGACTGCTCGTGGTGGGGTTGCTTACGAAATAGAAATGACGGAAAGAGACTGTCGAGCGCTTTAACTGGGTTAGTGGATTTAGAGGATCCACCTAGGGGAGTTAGAAAACCCTCATTCCAAATCAATAGTGTATATGATCTCCAGAATTCTGAGGGAACAAATGGGGTATGAACCTATTGTTGGTCACTGGCTACCATGGAACTTCATCTCTTTATGTTGTTCGACTGCCTTATGGATTATATTTGCAGGTGAGTGTCTCAGGTTGTGGACTCCTAAGAAAACAATCTCTTTTGTTTTGGGCACTCGGGAAGTATTCCAGCCCTTACATAATTGAATGACACGGTTTAGCGCATAGATACTTGACACCCCCTTGTATCAATATTTATGTGTAAACAAAATTGAATGAAAGAGGGGGTGAGAGTGGGAGAAATGGGAAATGAGGCAACTAAAACAATTTAACCTACTTAAGTATATTTCTAAATCATATGAAATTAAATTTCCATTTAAAATCATTGGCTTAATCCATGATACTTCAATATGATTAACACCAATAAATGTAATAGTTAATTCAGATACTTTCTCTGGTACACCTTCTTTAGTTTCTACAAGGATTGCATCACTATAAAAAAAATGAAAATTGAATATAGATTTACAATAAAATATAAAATATCAATGTAACTGTTTAATGGAAAAACAGGGAGTGTATACACCGACGACATTGTGATCGATTCTCAGCGACGTCACACAGAGTTATCAACTATTGGTTACGATAGTCATGTGGAACACAACCAAATAGTCTACATCTACCAACATGGCTCAGACTAGAAGTTAGTGACTTTAAGGACTGATGCCACATTTTGGTTTGGCCGCCCTTAACTTTCTTACAACCAACCCTTACACTAGTCAGTATTGCGCATCGTGCAGACATCGCGTCTAACCTCACTATTACTTACCAGGTGATCCCAACAGATGCGAGCAATACTTCTAAGACATTTGTAGTCAAATACTATAAGCTTATGAGTATCTTCTACACTTAACGGCCACGTTGCTCAACCATAAAGTAGAATATAACGAACTGCCACGCATTGTACTTGTCTCTTAATTGACAGACCGACATCTCGTTTTCCCTATAGGTGACGTATTTTGGCAAAAGCCAAACGAGCTTTTTGAATCCGTTCAGACATTTCTTTAGACACCAACTCATTAGAGTTGATCAGACTTCCAAGATAAGTGAAGCTGTCGACGTGTTTGACTACTCCACCCACTCTCCTTAGTTCAGGTGTTGATGTAGGCCAGTCCTGAAGTGGTAACTTAGGTTTAGAGGGGGAAAAAACGTATTCCAAACGTTTTAGCATTGTTGCCTAATGCTATCAAAAGACTCTGCATTTTACCAGCGTCTTCATCAAACAGCACTATGTTATCTGTGTATTCTAAGTCAATAAGTGGACCTCCTGGAAGGAGATCAATACACGAAAATTCAGTCGACGAGAACGTTATTTCCATCAGTATTTGTATGACGAAGTTGAACAAACGTGTAGATAGTTGACAACCTTGATGGACACCACTTGAGGTTGCTAAATCAGATGACAGTTCTCCACAAGCTCTGACTCGAATGGTAGTGTTCGAGTAATGTGCCTTCACAAGGTTTATGTACTTCTGAGGTACACCTTTCAATGACAGACACAGAATCTGTGAGTCCACAGAGTCAAATGCTAATTATTAAACCAAGAAGAACTATCATCTTATGTATTGGGAAAATCAATGATTACGACCAGTCGGATGACGTTACGTTCAACTCCCAGATTTTAGCTAAAATATTAGTCAACCTAATCGCTAAAACTAAACCATCTGCCCTTCCTCGTTTCAGATTAGCTATGGCCTTTTAAAATTCAATGTACTATTCAATGTAGTGCTACACGATTCCATAGATAGATAAATAGATAGATAGATAGATGTGTGGATAGATAAATAGATACTACCAAATGCCCTGGTTCAACCGAGAGTGGAGACAGTTCGCTCTCCTTCTTAAAATGCTCTCACATGTCCACGCGTACATAGCCTCTGCCAAGGATGTCCTACTCACTGCCTTCTCGCAACATTGCTGTTGTTTACGAGATTGAGAGGATGGAAAGCGAATGTCCGGCACTTTAACCAGGTTGGTGGACAGAAAGAGTCAACCTAGGTAAGTAGGAAAACCCTGATTCAAATCCAGTGGTGCACATGGGCTCCATTATATTGAGGGAACAAATGGCGTATGAACAATATATTGGTCACCGGCAACCATGGAACTGCATCGCCTTACGTTGCTCGACTGCCTTGTGGATCAGACCTTTAGGTCAAAGGCTCCAGAAGCAGCCCTTTAAGAAAACCACCTGTTTCGGTTTGGGCACCTGTGCATTATCACAACCCTTACATAAATCAAATGAGATTTGTGTAGCGCATATGTATCTGGTGCCCCCATGTACCAATATCTACGTGATCAAATAAATAATTCTAGACCATCATAGAAAACCTAGAAGCACTTGATAACCATTTCGTCTTGATATAGAGCTCCTCGTCAGTGTGCATCCGTAATTCCACACCGCGAGATTCAAACCCAAGACCTATCAATCTCGCATGTGAAACATTAAACCTTTAAACCATTGAGTCGGCCAACATTCAACCGTATTCATATTAATTTATAAATTACCTTTCTGGTCCAGCATATTGTATATTAAGTATACGAACCCATATTTTTAATTTTGTTTTACCCGGTAATTCATTTAAATAAACTTTATAATAATCATTTTCATATTGAATACTTGAATTTTTCATTGTATGTAAATGTTCTAATGTAGATGACCTAGTTATGGGGATACTTTTAGTATTGATTACATTATTATTATTATTATTATTATGAATAATCTCTCTATTCAATAGTTCATTATCTAGCAATGTTATAGATGACATTCGACGTAGATTTGGAAATGACCAAGATGGAGGTTGTTCAAGAATATAATCCTTGAAATAGAAAGAAAAAGTAAAGAATTTATGATTGAATGTATAATGAATTTATGGTAATTTCACTAATTGTAATCATGAGTCAATTGAAACTAAACCATCATGGGAAATGTGGAACCACTGGACGGTTGTTCCGTCCTAGTATGGGATTTCTCAGCAGTGCGCATCCAAGATCCGCACCCCGCGAGATTCGAACCCAGGACCTATTAGTGTCGTACCAGGCGCTTAACCAACTAAACCACTAATCCGACCGGCATCCAACGGTGTTCATGTCTAACTTCAACCAATCCACAAAGTTGCGCCGCCATACACCATTGTCATCAGTGAGTTGATATCTCACAACAGATCTGGTAATTGTCTATAAAAGCCTAATTAGTGATTTTCATTATTATACAAGCTAATGAATTTCTGGACTCAGTAGTTAAGTCAATAATATGATAGGGTCTGAGTACTAGAGTGAATATCAACTCTGTGTTGCCAGTACATCTAGCTTACGAGTCCTAAATAGGATGAGATTAACATCATGTGTAATAACGGTGTTGCAGATCAAATGCTGCTAAAGCATTTTTGGGTTATAGTAATTAATAAATTATTAGTATAGTTTTAACCGGATCGTTAAGTTTTATTGGGATCCTAGGTCAATAACCTTGAAGTGCTTGACTTCATCATAGTATAAAACAGATTAGCAACTCGCTGTGAGGAAGATACCAATTGAAGATAATGCATGATAGATACTTAATAACGTGTGTTGGTTAAAGTTAGACTTAGGATGCACTGCATGAAGCAGGTCAATTTTCTAAAGGTTAAGTGTTCATTCACGAAATTTAAGAGTCTGGGTTTGATTCCCAGATTCAGAGTTGAGAATTCTTAGTGCTAGAAAGTATCAGACTAGAGCAGAATGGCTGTACACTGCCTCCAAGTTTCTTATGGTTGCTTAAACATGTTCGATTCTCGATTCGAATATAAGTAATAAACGCTTATATATCAAGGTGTTCAATTCTTTCTGTACTCTACTAAACACCTTTAAAGCAAACGACACCAGTTTGAATTATTCTTCATAATTCATCCAACTACAAAATGATTTTGATGGAGTTTTGTTCTCTAAGCTGGATAGTTTAGTCGTGGAGCTTTCATCATTCTTCTTAACCATTGATTGATAAGTTGGATTGGAAATTATGCACAAATATAGGAACAAAAATCAAACCAATTTGGAGATACAACCAAAACAAAGAAGTAAACAATGACAGATTTAAGGTCAAGAAGAACCAATCAACATCAAGATGTACATGACAGGCTGTGAACTATGTGTGGAGAAATTCGAATACTTCACTTCTACCTGAAGTTTGTGCTGATGATGTTGTTCAGAAGAATAATGAAAGCTCCACGAATAAATCATCCCATCCAGAGAACAAAATTCTATCAAAATCATCTATCTGAGCTAAAAACCATCTCCACCGTCACAAAATGATTTGAATATCAGGAGTCAGTTGAAGAAAAAAACGATTGATGTTAGGCCACCATTGAAAACCTGGAAACACTGGACGGCCGTTTCGTCCTATTGTGGAACTCCTCAGCAGTGCCTATTTACTGCCTCGTTCGCGAATCTGTTGTGAGATAGTAACTCACTGAAGACAATGGTGAATGTGTCACTCAACTTTGTGATTTAATTGAAGTTAGAAATTGACATCATTGAATGCCAGCCGGATCAGTGGTTTAGCGATTAAACATTCGCGTGCCAGGTCGATAGGCTCTGGGTTCGAATCCCGCGAGCGAGATCATGGATGCACACTGCTGAGAAGTCCCTTACTAAGACCAAACGACCGTCTAGTGTTCCCAGGTTTTCAAAGATGGTCTAACATCAATCGGTTCAAGATCTTAATCAATAATCTCCACAACCTTATACTGATAAAAATGAAAACGAACCAAAAAACTTTCTAACCTGAACTTTTTTATAAAATTCACATGAATCATTTGATAAATCAGCATTACACCATTCAATTCGAAATCCTTGAAATATACCATTGATTTTTAATAAGAAATTAGAATCTTTGATCATTTTCCAACTAAGTAATAAATGATTTGAACCAATATATAGAACTCTTAATTGAATTGGTATTAATTGTGGTATATCTTCACCTGAACGACCAGTAAATATTAATGGTTTAGTACCAGATGAACCTAAATAGTTTTCAGCTTGTAAAGTAACCTATAAAATACAATATAGTACCCTTTCATAAATATGTATGAAGTAAATAGTATCATAGTTATGGTTCAATGTTTACAAGGTTAACAGTATTGCAATGAATTGATTAGTCTTTGAATGTTACCAATGTCATCAACGCTTATAGTGTTCACTTATTGTCTTATAATTGATTGATCATTGAATGGTGATCAATGTCATGTGTGTCAAGTCCTTCTTAGTACAGATCAAATGCTATCGACCAAGATTCTATGTGGCCACTTGTCCAACCACCATCTTATCACAACATACTGCACGTAATGTCGAGTCAATCAGACTAGTGGCCATATTGCAACTTGGTCGATAGCATTCGATCTGCATTAAGAAGTACTTGACATACATGACATTGATCACCACACAGTGATCAAATAATTGTGATTACATCTCAGTCCTATAGGACGTCAGTCACGGCCGGGATAGCTCAGTGGTTACGCGTCTGGCTGTGAAGCTGGGTGACACGAGGTCGAATCCGCCAGGGAGCACCAGTCCCTCAAGATTACAGGTACATCTTGCTGACGAGTGCCAAATAGCACGAAACACGGGTTCAGGGTTTCCTGTTGACTACCTCCAACCACCATCTTACCACTTATTGGGCGTCCTACTCACGTTTATTCACGTATTCGGTGACTGTTGAACGTCAGAGTTTGATTTTCACCAAACATTTTACTTCAAGAGGAAAAAATGAGAATTTTTGGTGCTTTAACCAGATTGGTGAATATCGAGGGATCTCCATAGGGGAGTTGGAAAACCCTGACTCAAATCCAATGGTGCACATGAGCTCCTATATCCTAAGGAACATGCATGTTCTGATGTTGCTCCATTGGACCATACTTTTAGATCGAAGGCTCGGGGTGTGGCCACCATCTGTCTCGGTCTGGGCACCCAGACAGTATCACAGCCCGCACAGAAATCATGTGACTTGTGTGGTGCATATTCGTGTGTTCAAATGCATAAAGTAATAAATAATAACATAAAGCATATCAAATCAGGATGAATTCTATGTACTATTGTTGATTTAAGATCATTGGCCAATGGACAACGGCGAGATTATAATTTGTGGACGAATCAATCACGAATAAGATAACAGGTCACAGATTTTGTCGCAAAATTCACTCATTCATTCGGATAAATAGAAATTCGGCAATAATATCTGATGTCAATTCGTGATGAAAAACCTAAATCTAATTTCTAACCTTAATCAGCAACTGTAAAATCGTAATTCGAATTCCTGGCATAGGTTTATAACCCTTATTTGGTTCTGGTTATTAGGCGGACATTGTCAAAGTCAGTCTGACGTCGCTCAGTAGTCGTTCATAAATTAAAGTCTCAATCAGTCAGTTACAACGTAGGACCAGGCATCTATATGCATCAGTCCAAGTTGCCATACTTCATTAGTACAACAACATAAACAGTGAATTCGTAGAAGTAGTTAATTCAATTGTAGTAATATGTAAAAGAAGGATTGCGTATAATGATATAGTACAGGAAGAAGGAATTAGTTCGTAGAAAGAAAGGTATAAAGTTATTTTAGCCCCGTGTTTTAGAGGGGGACAAAGAGTGTATACATCTACACTATTGTAATCGTTTCAGAGCCATGTCATATAGAGTCTCTAACCATTGGTTACGATAGTCTCACCGGACAATCATTAAAATCTTAAGGACAATCAATAATCATTCATCTTGGTCAGATGCTTACTAGAGTTACTTTTCTTAAATTCATAACCTACCTAAGTATCTTATCTCATAGCTGTCAAGGATCTCGGTAAGTAAATTACTACTAAAACCCTAAAATCGATATCTACTAATCCATATCTTTAACTTCGATTCATTCTATACTCCTTCAATATAGAAATATTATGTTACTTTATCTCTTCCACTAGTTCAATAATCATATCGTATTGTGGATCGTGGGGTGTCTATTCTAATTTCTACCGATTGATCAACTTCAGATATCCCAGTTATATAAATAATATACCCTTGTTGGCCATGGTAATCTTACATTAGTTTTCAGGAGAACCAGACACCACCCGAACTTTCATGTGGCAACCCAAACAGTACAGCCCAACCCCGTTTAGCAGGGAGACCAGACACCGTATAGGCTTTAACGCTACAATTCGAATAGTACAGCTCAATCCTTTGGCGCAACCACACAGGTACCAAGCACCCTGGTGGACCATTCGCACCATTCATATACACATTCACATCACATGTATAGTTATTCCGATCAATGATCGCGTGAATCAATTATGCACAGCACAAATAGGCCAAATTTGACCTATTCCGCTTACACGACAGTCAAACTCGTTAATGTTAGCAATGGCGACATGCCTTACAATATCCCAATGACAATGGCCCTCGGGAACACTGAAAAGCAACCACCAGTATGAATGAAATCGGTTAACCAGCAAACCAATTTTTTGCATGAACAGCCAGCAAAACTTTCCAAATCAATGCCGAACCATCCACAATAACAATGGCGAACCTCCAGCCTCATATGTGACCTTCAGCTCTACATAGCCATATAGTTTATACTGCATACAACACATATGTAGGGTAGTAAGCGAAATAATCCAGCCTGAAGCGTTATGGCTTAAATAATACTTAAAACCCACTGTCTGATGCTGGAATACTATAACTAAACCACCAAGGTCATTTTTATCGCATTTGCAAAATTTTCATTTTTCCGACTTTTCAGACCCTGAGTTAGGGGTAGTATCCCTTCAGATATCCCAGTACAACCCCAATACTGTTCCTCAATCTCCAGTATATCAGAACACGAACCGTTAGATGAAAATTGTTTATGGAGTCAGGAGGAAAAGATGAAGAAGAATATCCCAACATATCGGTCATCATACTATGGTATGATTTACCATTGTTCTTTTCAAATTCTTTCAATCTATTCAATTATTCATCAATTCTACGTTAAATTTAATTCTTACCTGATAAGTACGAAATACTTCTATATTCCATTTATCAAATTGATTTAGTTCGTTCCTATTTGATGATACCTTTGATGTGATTAATTCAGTTAATTCTATTCTATCTTTAGACCAATTTTTAATGATTGTATAATTGAATACATCTTTTGATGGACCATGAATACAATCCATACAATGAATAGTTAAACGATATATTAAACCAGGACCATTATGTTGAATAGGATCCAAAGGCTGTGTTAAAAAGCAAAAGAAAAAACGTTTTAAAGCAAAAATGGATAATGATGAACAGTGAAATCTAAGACGCACGTTTCATCCTAGTTGGGACTCGTCAGCTGGATATATCTGCACCACATAGTTGATGTTTACTCTGGGACTCGAATTCAGTACCGTTCCCTTTAAATGCTTTTGTGTTATACACTTAACTATTGAGTCATGATAGACACTTGCTTGTGCAATCAGATGAAGTTTTATATTCACTTGATATTGTTTACTTGGATCTTTCCGTTGATGTTTAGGACTGTAATTGATCAGTCTTTTATTGTCATATGTGCATACTGTGTGTTGCTGACAATTACTGGGTAGGTGTATTGCCTCGCACAAAAGAATATGCAAATGCTTTCGATACTACAAAAAATGCATTTATTCTATCTCCAATAGGTATTAAGATTACTATTATTACTGTAATCAATAGAATGTACGAAATTCTTCACTTGACATCTCATTAAATCTATCTTATATTACTCATTATCCCTCTCTCACATCACTTTTTATCAGTATGGGATTATGGAAATTGTCGAGTTTTGATTGAGATCATGAATTGATCAATGTTAGACCACCATTGAAAACCTGGAAGCAATGGATGGCTGTTTCGTCCTATTACAGGACTCTTCAGTAGTGCGTATTCATGATCCCACACCAAATGGATTAGGACTTACGATCTTCGGTCTTACGCGCAAACTTCTTACCTCTAGATCCCTGAGCTGGCATCCAACGGTGTTGATGCTTAACTTCAACCAATCCACAAAACTGTGAGATTAGATATCTGTCTCTATCCGACACGGGTTGAACTCCACTGGTCAAAGCTTCTCAATAGAACTCCGAGAATTATCTCTCAAAGCCCGTTACTAATGAGTACAAGATAATTGTCATTACGGAGTTAAAAAGTTTCATGGATACCAATGGTGACAGTCTATATATTTCTAGTTCCATTATAAACTTCATTTTGAGAAATGAATACACTTTTTATATATGATATTATAACTTGATAACAAACAAACTGATCTAAATCTGATCACAATTTGATACGTGTCCATCGAGAACAAGACGTAACTTGCTACTGAGTGTGAACTGACAGACATAGATTATGTATGATTTTACTCCTCTTGAATGTAGACTGCTTGAATTAAGTGTGATCTAAGGTATACTCTGTTCCGCTACTTTTGGTCTAGAATCATGTATCTGGTGTATGTATTTAAGGTATTGATCAAATATTCAGTCTAGCGGTAGTACAGTCTTGGTCATCGATCGTGGAAGTGTATATGAGTAGTATAACGTGGGAAACAGAAAATATTCTTACTTTCTCATTGCATTATTTCCTTTTTGTCTTTATTCTGTAACGTATATTGATCAATGTCTATAGTACTGTCATACTGTGTGTTTGACCAGTTAATTATAATTACAACTAGATTATCACTGAGTAGTGACCAATTTCATGTTCCTTATATACTGATTGAATTGGATCGATTAAGTTTCACTATGGATACTGGTCTAAATTACTAGAAATTCAGAACACTATATCGAAATGTTCATCATTGATGAACACGATGGATCTGATGCAGAAGCATATCTATAATTGAAGAACATCTGGAACTCAAAACAACTGTCAACTAACATCAACGTCAGAATTTTCAATACAAATATCAAGACAGTTCTATTGTATGGGATGGAAACTTGGAGAACTATGAGAACCATCATTCAGAAGATACAAGTGTCTATTATTAGTTATATACGCAGAATACTTCGGATCCATTGACCAAACACTATCAGCAACAATCTACTGTGAGAAAGAACAACCCAGATACCAGTGGAGGAAGAAACCAGGAAGAAGTGGTGGAAGTGGATAGGACACACAATGAAGAAATAATTCAACTGCATCACAAAGAAAGCCCTCACGTAGAATCCCCAAGGCCAAAGGAGGAGAGGAATAACAAAGAACACATTACATCGAGGAATGGAGACAGACATGAGAAGAATGAACACCAATTGGATAGAACTAGAAATGGAGGTTCAGGACAGAGTGTGTTTGAGAATGGTGTTTGGCAGCCTATGCTCGATTGGGAGTAACAGAAGTAAGTAACATACCGAAATGTTAGGTCTTTGAAAATAGTCATCAGAAAAAATGAGAAAATCCAGTTCAAATTGTATATAGTTTCTTGTTGAGTACTACCAACCAACTAACATCTCAGCATTGTGTACAGGATTCTAAGTCGATTAAACAATTTCCAACACTGGAAATGAGTCCTTTGAACCTGATCAATGTTAAGGACTAAATACAAAACAGGAAATTAGCCACTACTTAGTGATTAACAAGCCTAAATACCTCAGTTCCATAAAAGATTAGCTTTGTTTTGAAAAGCTCAGTAGCAACGTCTCAAACTATGAAACTATGTGATGTAGGTTAGAATTCCAAATGGAACACCATATCACTCACGATCACAGGTACACCATGCCAACCGAACACTGACTTTCATAAAAACTTAGATGGAGTTAGATTTCTTTTAGACTACTTCGAACCATCTGAAAAATTATATTGGTTTTAATCTATTTACAATTGTATGTAACATATTTCTTAGTTTCTATTAACTAATCATTCTACAAAGGTAACACAACTTGTAATCAAAGATAATACTGAGTTATTCAGTTAATAAGATCATACATTGGCTCGCGCGCGAAACATCTACGTCCTAGGTTTGAATCCAACGAGGAGCAATCGTGGATGCGTACTACTAGAACGAAACAGCCATCCAGTGCTTCCAAGTTTTCTATGATGGTCTAGCTTCAATTGACTCATGTTCTCAACCATTGAAATGGTAAACAAACACTTCTGAATCATGAAAATGTCATATTAACTAAACAAATTAACGAGTAAATTGATTCAGAAGCGTACTTAGATAACGTGTTGATATATACCATGTATAAACATCATCACTGAAATCTAGATACATAAAGTTGATGAATATTAATTGAAATGAAACATATATCTTAGATCCTTCTATTAAGTACCAAATAAGAATCTCAGTTTACTTCACTATCCAAAATAGAACCTCATTATTTCTTAATCAGTATGAGGTCGTATTTCTTCTGATTAGTGTTATATGGCGAGTTAATTTTTTACAGGATAGGGTCACTAACCCCATGCTCATCCCTCTTCCTTTAACCGGGCTTGGGGCCAGCAGTAATTCTAGAAGAGCTATAGGTGGAGCCTCTGCATTAGTAGGCCTCAACATACACAAAGGAAAAACCAAGATCCTCAAATACTACATGGAGAACATTAACCCAATCACATTTGATGGCGAAACTTTAGAAGATGTGGAATCCTTCACATAACTAGGAAGCATCGTCGATGAACAAGGAGGATCAGAACGAGATGTAAAGGCGAGGATTAGCAAAGCAAGGGCTACATTCCTACAATTGAATAACATATCGAACTCAAAACAACTGTCTGGCAACCAATATCAAAGTCAGAATCTTCAATACGAACGTCAAGGCAGTTCTACTCTAAGGAGCTGAAACTTGAACAACTACTACAAACATCATCTAGATGGTACAAGTATTTAGAAATAGTTGTCTATACAAAATACTCAACATCCATTGGCCGGATACGATCAGCAAGAGCTTTCTGTGGTAGAGAACAAATCAGGAAAATTAGGAAAATCCGATGGAAATAGATGGGACATACATTACGGAAATCACCAAACTGCATCATGCAACAAGCGCTAACTTGGAATTGTGACAGAAAGCGGAAAAGAGGAATGCCAAAGAACACATAACATCGGGAAATAGAATCAGATATAAAAAAGATGAATAGCAATTGAAAATAGCTGTAAACAATTGCCCATGACAGAGTTGGATAGTGGGTGCTTGTGAGCTGCCTATTATCCTCGAGGAGGAGTAACGGCGTAAGTAAGTAAGTAAGTAAGTAAGTAAGTAAGTAAGTAAGTAAGTAAGTAAGTAAGTAAGTAAGTAAGTAAGTAAGTAAGTAAGTAAGTAAGTAAGTAAGTAAGTAAGTAAGTAGTAGTAAGTAAGTAAGTAAGTAAGTAAGTAAGTAAGTAAGTAAGTAAGTAAGTAGTAAGTAAGTAAGTAAGTAAGTAAGTAAGTAGTAAGTAAGTAAGTAAGTAAGTAAGTAAGTAAGTAGTAAGTAAGAAGTAAGTAAGTAAGTAAGTAAGTAAGTAAGTAAGTAAGTAAGTAAGTAAGTAGTAAGTAAGTAAGTAAGTAAGTAAGTAAGTAAGTAAGTAAGTAAGTAAGTAAGTAAGTAAGTAAGTAAGTAAGTAAGTAAGTAAGTAAGTAAGTAAGTAAGTATGGGGTTATGGATCATACAATCAATCAATGCTAGACCTTTATTAAAAACCTTAAAACCTTAAAAGATGATTTCGTCCTAGAATAGAACGTTCTTCATCAGTGTACATATCTACAATCACACATTGAATGATCTTGATCTAATCGATACACCAAAATGATTACATCACATATATTACCTTCCATTGTATAATTAAATTATTTGGTTTATTACCATATACTATTAAATAATCTGGATTAATGAATGTTGGCATTGGTGGTAATATACATAATTCATTAGATTCAATTGATAATTTTGGTATTATATCACTTGGTAATGATTTACCAATAGAATTTATTAATTCAATACGAAAATGATAAATAACATCATAATTTAATTGTAGAAATGCACGTCCTATATTCAATGGTAATTTAGGTAATTCCATAATACTACTATTAAGATTATTATTATTATCAGTAGTATGATTATAATGATGATGATGATGATGACGTAATGATTGATTTTTAGTTTTTAAATAATCAATAATTTCCATTTCTGGTATAAGATCAATAATATTCCATTGATTTTTTATGATTGATTGATTAATAATTGATTGAGCGATAGATAATGTTGTCTGATTTAACCAATAAATATGATTATGATGATTATATTGATTATTATTGATTGATTGATTATATTGATTTGCTAATGAATCATCTTTTATAGGACGATAAAATCCTGTAATATAAGTAATGATTACTTTATTAATTGGTGTATAATATAGTTCATCAAATTCCCATGTTAACATAATATATGGTGATAATGGATTATGATAATTACATAATAATTTTATTGATTTTGGAGGTTTTGGACGACCTAAAAAAGGGAATAGGAAAAGAAAGAAACAAGTTCATGAAGTTATTACCAAAAATTGATTGAATTATGTTGCTAAGTGGAGACTACTTGGTTGGAATAGTAACCGAGATATGGTTCAAAATCGTTTACAATGGTGTATGTGTATCCACTGTTTGTGTTCTCTCTAATTCTAATCTTCTGAATTCTTTGTGTCTTTTTCTTTCTCTTTCCAGATTCATTTCACTGGATTATACTCATTGAATAACATCTTCAAACCCTAATCTTTCCTATTACTGCTTATACTTTTACTCTATCTATCACTAAGGGATTTGAATCGACAACTGCATCTCTGTGCTAATGTGATGTGGCAACTCGAACTGATGTACGTACGTACGAAGTTCTACGTTGTTACTGACTGACTGAAGTGGGGGGTTTTACGGGTAATATTTGTAATTACAATAGTCGAGATCATGAGACAATTGAAGTTAGATGAGGGTGTTGATTACAAAATCGAAAGGACAAAAAGCTAATGTCCGGTGCTTTAACCGTATTGATGGATATGGAGGATCCATCTAAGAAAGTTGGAAAACCATTGGTGTACATAAGTTATAGGATTCAGAGGGAATAAATGGCGTATGAACCAATTGTTAGTCACCGGCTACCATGGGACTGCATCTCCACAATTTGCTATACTGCCTTAGACCTTTAAGACTAAGAAAATCACCTGTTTCGGTCAGGGCATCTGAGCAGTATCACAGCCCACACACAAATCACGTGACTTGTGTGGAGCATATGTATTCGGTACCCCTTTGTACCAATACTAAATAAATAACTAATCCTATGGTTGAATTCATGAGTCAGACCATCATGTAAAGCCTGGAAGCACGGAATGTCCGTTTCGTCATAGTATGAGACTCCTCAGTAGTGCGCATCCAGGATCTTGTCCCACGGGATTCGAACACGGAGCCTGTCAGTCTCACGCGCGAACGTTCTACCTCTGGACCACTGAGCCGGCCGGCATTCAACGGTGTTAACGTCTAAATTCAACTAATCCACAAAATTGAGAGACACATCCATCATTGTCTCGTGACAAACCGAAAGTTCTAGACTCGATTCTCCTTGGTGGAAATTCGTGGCTGGCATTATTCAAAAGTTCCATACTAGAACGAAACAGCCGTTTAATGCTTCTAGGTTTTCAATAGTGATCTAACCTACTTTCAATTCAAAACTTCAGTACTTCACTCTTAGTGCTTTTAAAATCTCAGGAAGAAAAAAAACACGAAATATATTTGATTACCTTGAACTATAAGATGAATGGAAGAATTCACACTGTCCAATTTTGTACTAGCAATACATGTATAGATTCCAGTATCACTTGGTACCAAGTTTAAAATCATTAGACTTTCATTATTTGATGAAGTGATATTAAGACGATCACTATGTTCAAAAGCATCTTGAAGAGTTAAATTATCTCTGAAAGTCAGATACAATAAACGATGATGAAATGATTATTCTGAAGTTGCCATACCTCATTAACACAACAAGATGAATACCAAATTCCTAGAAGGAGTTACTTGAATCAATTTCTTAAGCTATTCTAGTAATCCCAACTTAAATCTACACGACAATCGAAGGGACGATTTAATACAGGGTTAGTTTATCTACAGGAAATTGAGACTATTTACAGCATCTCAGATAGCCTTTGGCTTCTGGAAGTTTCTGGAATCCTACCAAACATAGTACTAGGATAGTTAATCAATCAATCAAAAATGTGACACATGACTCTTCACCATTTAAATGTTTCTGAGACACTTCTATTCAATGCTGATTGGTTAAGATGTTTCCCAAAATTTTCAGTACCCCTTTGAGCTTTTTACGAGGAATACTCTGGAACTGTTCAACAGAATTAAGGAGGAAAATTATATTCATAAATTTGAAGTAAATCACCAAATAAACTGGTTGATCATGGTGCTGGATTTAACAAACGTAATTTTCTCTCTTAATTTGATTAAATTAACTCAATGCTCAACTACTATGAAACGGTTCGTTCACGAAATTTCGATAAGACTATAATTTATGGACGAATCAATCAGGTAGGAGATAAAAGGGTCTCGGATTTCGGCGTGAAATTCACTCATCCATCTGACCAAATAGCGTCTTGGTTTTTTTAACTGATGTCAGTTCGTGATGATAAATCGTAAATCTAATTTCTTACCCTAGCCATCAACTGTAACTCATGATCCTTATTCTTTAAACTGCTTTATAACTATCATTTAGCCCTAATAAGTAGGTAGACACTCACAAGGTCGCTTTGACGTCGTTCAAAGATCATCCATAAATTACAGTCTCAAAGAAATTTCTTATAACCACATAGAATGTGGTTGTGTTCGTTATGTCCAATTTAAATAAATAAAACTAATTCTTACACCCTATGATTAAATAGATAATCTTGTCCTGTGAGTTGATGAGTCAGTTAAAGCTAGACCATCATGGGAAACCTGGAAGCCGTGGACAACCGTCTTGTCCTAGTATGGGACTCCTCCTTGACAGTGAGCATCCACGATTCCGCCCGCGGGATTAGAACCCAAGACCTATCGGACTCTTAACCTCTAGAGTGGGCTGGCATCCAATTGTGTTAATGTTTAACTTCAACCAATCTGCAAAATTGAGCAAAAAGTCCACTATTGTCTACATAGAATCAGTGCCTCACAATAGACATGGATGAACTCCATTGATCACAGATTCTCACTAGAACTCTAGGAAATACGTCTTGAAGCCAGTCAATAGTGAGCAGATGATGATTATGATCGGAAAGTGAGGTTTTGTGAACATTATAGTAATTTAACAATTGAATTCATGAATCCATACACATGTTTTCAATGAAGAAGTAATAAAATGAAAGAAACTACTGAAATGAGTTCAATGAATCTTGTAAAATAATATTTATTTTCATTATGTACAACGGTAATTAATTTACAATTTCATAACAGAGATCTAAATACGATGTTAATTTGTTGAAGGTAATCAACATGAAAATCTGAATCTAGTTTCTTTGTCTTAGTTGGTTCCAGTTTCAACTAATTGGTAATATACACTATTGGTTACTGACTTAATAGTTTTAAAGTAAGATATTGACTATAAAACATGAAGGTGTTGGGTAGGATTCTCGATGAGGTTATGGATGAACATTGTTGAAAAGCCAGATACTAGAACAAACTAACTACCATATCAAAGATGTATGATGGCTAGCAGTGAACTCCATGACCCACGTTTCGTCCTATTCTGGGCTCGTCAGCTGGATGTACCTGCATCTCAGAGTTGATGTTCACTCTGGGACTCGAACCCAGTACCATTCGCTTCAAACGCCATCGCGTTGTTCACTTAGCTACTGAGTTCAGACGAAGGGATTGAGCTAACTTAAGTATCATATCCTTATTTATCTTTATTCACTATCTTAGGTTAGTGAATGCTGAAAACTATGAAAACTAACTCCACAAATTGTGTACATAGTTCACACACACAATTATATAATATACCCTTATGGGCCAGGGTAATTTTACATTGGTTTTCAGGAGAACCAGACACTATCCGGACTTTCACGTGACAACCCAAACAGTACACCTAAACCCCGTTTAATAGGAGAACCAGACACTGTATAGGCTTTAACGTTACGATGTTAATAGTATAGCTCAATCCTGTGGCGCAACCACACAGGTACCAAGCACCCTGGTTGACCAAAATTGTGTACATAGATTGGTACTAATTATCGGTAGGATTTGTGTTTCCCTACCCTATCATGTTCAAGATTAAGTATTATCAACCTATGCTAATTTATGAACTCTTTAAGTGAATAAGTCAATATACTATCTATTATTATATTTCTGAGTAAGAAATAGCCAATGGAATTCTATATACACAAGTTTTATCTTATTTGGATTACATAAGAACTCATTTATCATTCAGTCCTGAATAAAAATCATAAATCATTACAAGATAGCTCAATTATAACAAATGTAATCAATTTAATAAAAATGAATAGAAAAGATCTAAGATTATTCAATCATAATTGTTGGCTTCCGTTGGGGTTTCCCGGCGTCGATTCGAATCCCATCCCCGTCGCCAATTGTTATATCTTGATGGTTGTTCTTGATATACCACCATGGAAATCCTGGAAGCGCACTGGATGGCTGCTTCGTCCTATTGTGGAATTCTTCAGCAGTGCGTATCCATGACCTCGCCCCCTGCGAGATTCGAACCCAGGACATAGTGGTTTCGCGCATGAACATTTAACCAATAGAAAGCATTTAAGCTTCTAGACATAACAATAATAATCTTCCATTTAAATGTATAGAACTTACTTTTTCCATATGATTGTCAATTGATTTTCATGTATTGGATCCGTTTCAACTTTACAGGTTAAATGAATTTTAGATCCTTCTATAAGATATTTCATATTTATTCTTTTATTATTATAAGTAGTATTATAAGTAGTATTTGTATTGATAGTTTGTTCAATTAATGGACCAGATATAATACGGGTCCGTTTTCTAATGAATAATTTCCCTTTTGATTGAGATATACCAAATATATTTGATGCTTTACATATATATGTACCACTATGTGATAATTTAGCATGCTATATTGTTAAAATGAGAAAAGAAGTATTAGTGTAGAATTGTGGAGATTGAGATCATGAACTGATTGATATTAGATCAGTATTGAAAACATGAACTCATGACCTGGGTTCGAATCACGTGGATGTGGAATGCTGAAGAGGAGTCTTACAATAAGACGAAATGGCCGGTCAATGCTTCGAGTTTTTTTAAAGGTTGTCTAACATCAATCAATTCATAATCTCAATGAAGAAGAGAAGTACTTGTATTAATGAAATTTAAATTAAAATATATCTGTATTATGTAATAGAAGTTTGATGTTAAGTAGTTGAAGTGAATAAGACATTTATGAAGCAAATCATCACAGTACATCATGAGGCAAGCGCTAACATGGAATCTTGGATGGAA